CAAATGGGTCTTCCAAATGGACAATGACCCCAAGCATACTTCCAAAGTTGTGTAAAAATGGCTTAAGGACAACAAAGTCAAGGTATTGGAGTGGCCATCACAAAGCCCTGACCTCAATCCTATAGAAAATGTGTGGGCAGAACTTAAAAAGCGTGTGCGAGCAAGGAGGCCTACAAACCTGACTCAGTTACACCAGCTCTGTCAGGAGGAATGGGCCAAAATTCACCCAACTTATTGTGGGAAGCTTGTGGAAGGCTACCCGAAACTAAACGTTTGACCCAAGTTAAACAATTTAAAGGAAATGCTACCAAATACTAATTGAGTGTATGTAAACTTCTGACCCACTGGGAATGTGATGAAAGAAATAAAAGCTCTAATATTATTCTGACATTTCACATTCTTAAAATAAAGTGGTGATCCTAACTTCTCTAAAACAGGGAATTTTTACTAGGATTAAATGTCAGGAATTGTGAAAAACTGAGTTTAAATGTATTTGGCTAAGGTGTATGTAAACTTCCGACTTCAACTGTATATTCAAGATGCAAACATCTACATTTGGCCTATTATACCGTATGCCACAAACTGGTGCATGGCGAATTTGCGTCCTACAATTTTGGCCTCGAAAGAAGCGCATCAGCTGGGTACATGGGGTAGGCTACTTTAGATTCCACTGGGTTTTGTATTTTTGTTTATTTGACTGGGTTTTTTGACTGTGATGTCACAATTATTTACCACCCATAGAGCAGGTTTATATATGAGGGCATGCAGTTCAACACAGGTAGGTCACATTGAGTACGTTCGTAAATTCACTCTGGCTATCTACTCCGATTTCAGAGCACTTTCATCTGTGTGCCAGAGCACAGAATAACTGATAAATGTATGAACGTGAAACACCTGCAAAAAATAATACTTTTTCGTGATATCCAATTGGTAGTTACATTCTTGTCCCATCGCTGCAACTCCCGTACGGACTCGGGAGTGGCGAAGGTCGAGAGCCATGCGTCCTCAGAAACACAACCCTGCGAAGCCGCACTGCTTCTTGACACACTGCTCGCTTAACCCAGAAGGCAGCCTCACAAATGTGTCGGAGGAAACTGGCGACCGTGTCAGCGTACATGCACCCGGCTCGGCACAGGAGTCACTAGAGCACGATGCCATGCAGTGCCTTAGACCGCTGCGCCACTCGGGAGGCCCTAATTAAATTGTTGCCAGCAGCACAGTTAGTCACCAACACTCTAGATAACATGAAAACAGCCTAACCTGCTCTGCTAGGGCGAGTAAAATGGTCAGTCAGGTGTTCGCTCATTTGTGTCTGGAAGTAGCTAGCAAGCTAGCCAACTTTAACCAGTTGCTTGTCTGCCGTTGTGAGTTCAAAACACTCAGATCAACCCTAGTCCTGGGCCAGAGCATCCACTGTGCACTCTGAACTCACCGAGAGCGAAACGCTCTGAATTTATGAACTGACAATCTGACAAGCTCTGAATTTACAAATGCCCAGAGCGCACTCTGAGCTCACTCTGGCACTCCACAGTGAATTTATGAACACAACCATTATATCACCATTTTGCACAGTATTGGTCCATTATGACATCACAACTATAGCCATGATGTCACAATCAACACATCCCAAACATTACGTTGGAACATTCTAGTGTGGTGCCTGACTACTGAACATAGAACACCAGTATCAAGACAATCTAACAAATGTATCCTGAGATAGTTATCACCATAAAATATAGAACATGCTACTAGATGAAAACTTGAAGTTGAAGACCAAGGTAACAGAGATAACAGTTTTTAATGTGTAGTGTTGTATTCACATGGCTGAGGCAACTCAATGTATTTCCAAGATGAAGCCATGTGAGCCCTGTGGCCGGTGCTTCGATCCAAACAGTCTGGAGAAACAGCGAGATCTGTGCCAAGGTCTCCTCCAACACACCAGAGGGATATATGACCACCAAGCACCGATTCAAGGGCACCAACTTTTTTAAGAACGGAAATGACTGCTCTTTTGTACTTTGGATTGGACAACAGGCCACTGAAGAGGAAGTACTGCTAAAAGGAAGTAATATTGTATCCAGAACCATCCAAATCAACTGTGTACAGCAGTTCCTCAAATCCAGATAAACACCTGTATTTCTTTAATGAATGAACGATTCAAAAACATTTCTGTAAATTTTTCAAGCAGATTTGTAAATACTGCAGAAAGGTAGAGGAAATTAAGGGAACAAGGGAATGTATGTCAAATCTGAAAATGAAATATATTTTATGTTAATTTGAAATGTATTTGATGTTAATCCCCATCTTAAATGGGGAATGTAGGAGTCCAACTATCTATATTATAATACCATGGGCCACAACCTGGGGTGGACTTGCATCTTACAATTTGACAGATTTCTTAATTTTGGCCTCAAAAGAAGAGTCACCAGGACCATGGGATAGGCTCCTTTTCTACTGGAACGCATCCAACTTTGAGCTAACAACAAACAGGGTCGTGCTCAGTAGGGCACAACGTAGCAAAAATGTTTTGCAACGGAAAAACAAATATGTGCATTCTTATTATACAAAGTTCAGGTAATTCCGTTTCAATGTTTTCTCTATTGTAAACACAACCCAAGTAGCATATGAGAACATAACCCAAGACACAAAAGACATGACAACAGTTTGTTCATTTCCAGGCTAACCTACTGTTTATTTAATGCAAATTACAGTACCAGGTAACTATTTCTCTGAACCAAGTCACATAGACAGAAATATCTACAGGGAGAGGGGACATTAAGCATACCTTCACAGAAAAAAAAGTTTATATTCAAAATGAAATCAAAATTTCAGTCACAAACAGAGGCATTCAAGTAGTAGTAATGTTATAGTTTTTTGTTGTAAATTCTTAATTTCTGAATATAACCCAGTCCTTTTTTTATTTTTATATTGTTTTTTAAACATTGTGTTTTGTACATATTATATTAATCCTTAAAGTCACAAGAAGTGGTCACATTGTTTGTTTTACAGGCCAGGTGATTGGATAGCAACACATCTACGAATGCAAATATTACAAGCAAGCATACAAATATATGCTTTAAAAAATAAAATAAAAAACAGGAAGGATTGGTGCTACATGACATCTCTCCCAGAGTGCTGTTGAGAATGTGGACACACAAATCCTACAGACAAATTGTTTATTGCCATAGTTGAGAAAGTAATACTGAATACGATAAGACCCCCCCGAACAGTGTGGGGTTGTACGTGCATCTCATAAAACCATAAAAACACATTTTAAAACAAACCTTCCTGAAAAGAGAATGATTTTCTCAGATCCTTTAAAAAGACAATGAGACAACTCCCCCAACCAACCACAAGCAAAGGGGATCCCAAAGTCAAAGACACAGAGCCAATCATACAAAAAGAAACAGTGATGAGGTGGAGGGGTGATGTGATGAGAGTGTGGTCTGTGTGACGCCTGGCTATTGCAGTGCATTGTGGTACATGAAAGATCAGAGGTGGAAAGGGGAAGTCAACAGCACTCCAGGAAGGAATAGGGTGAAGTTGCCCTGTATGCTGGTCTCGAGCCAGTTTTGCATTTTCCCCACTAAAGTTTATGGTTATGCAATTTCACACCGGAGCCTCCAGGTAGGACCATGGAGGGAGGGAACCTGGGGAAGAGAGGAGAGAACGAGTGGAAGCAAAGGCACTCCAACCTATAGATACACTATACATTACTGGTTAGTCTTACAATGATACAGCTGGCACCTACTGTACAGTCGAGATTTAACTATATGGCTGGAGGAAAAAAAAGCAAAGCTGATCTACAGTTTGACTATACAATAACTTTTAACCTGAATGTTATTTTTTTGTATTCTTCTTTATATCGTTCGTCTTTGTTTTTGCTCGTTAACAGTTCTTGGGTCTGCCTATTTACATACCATACATACACAGGAAGACACGCACACGTAAGCCAGTTTGGTGAGGAGCATCTACATACATAAATACATACACATTTGTGTGTACTTTTTGTATAGGTCTTCAAAGTGTTGTGTTGAGGGATGGGATGGAAGGACTTTCAGTTTCAAAAGGAAAGCAGGAAAGGCTGAAGTCAGAATGAGAAAGGACTTCCAACAGTGGTTTAAAATTACATGGGGCTGCGTCTGAAATGGCACCCTATTCCCAACTACTTTTGCCCAGAGCTATGTGGACTGTGGTCAAAAGCAGTGCACTAAATTAGAGGGAACAGGGTACATTTGGACACAGAATGGTAACAAAGAGAGATCGTGATGAAATGCAGCACAATCAACAGCAGACTCCTTCATCTAAGCATCCTTCATAGCCAGTCCCCAAACCCACCCTAACAAGAAACGGAACAATACCAGGCTTTACTAGTCACAATGTCTATCTGACAAGCAGCAGGAAAAGTAAAACAGAGGTCCTGGTCTGAAAGACCAGCAGAATCTCTTTCTTGCTCTTAGGTCTGTACTGGCAAAGTTCTGTCGGTACTGCATTACCCTTCGGAGAAAAACGGGGTAAAACTCATTTATGCACCGTTTCTGGGAGCTAAAAGGGGGACGAACCCAAAAAAAGTGATGAGGTGCGAGACAACTGTTGCCTTACGAGCAGAATCACAAAATGGTGCTGCATAGCAGAATTATGATTTCTGAAGTGGGAGAGAGAGTAGCTGACACAATTCTACAACATATCAACTGTGTATGTGTACATTGAACACAGACACAGATATCGAGGTCAACCATTACAAGTCACGACGTCATCAAGGTCCTCAGATGTATATACATGAATGGGTGGATGGGGTCGACAGGGGCCCCAAGGGGCCACAGTCTGAACGTAAGGCTGTTGCAAGACGCATGTAGGGGCCTCTCCTACACAGAGAGTGGGATGACTATAGCTAGCATAAGAAAAAAGGAAGATTGTCTATGGAAACAAACACGTCAGAGTACTTTTGTATACTTATATAGCTATACATTATCTCTACACTAAACACACCCGCACTCGGTCCCCTCCTCTTCAAAGCACAGAAAGATGCAGAGCAGCTCTGAGAACGTATCACGGTTGTCCTTTTTGTACAAATAAATAAACAAACATTAAAACGATGGGAGAGGAGAGGTTCGGGTGGAGGTGGTAGGGGAATCATGAAGTTCCGATTCGGTTTTTCTTGTGTTCATCTTTGTCACGCGTCAGTTTTCTTGCTTTGCTTTATTAGTTGGTTGGTGTGCAGCCATTCCACTGTTGTTGTCCAGGAGCTGGGGCATGGGCAGCGGGCAGACGGGTCAGGAGGAGGTCTCAGGTGGAGGCGTTGGAGGCGGAGGCAGCGTTGGTGGTCTGGCCGCGGTCTCCGCTGTTGGCATCTGGAATGGGAAGCAGTACAACAACACGTTACACAACTCGCCTTTAATGAGGAGAGCTCTGGGCCCTTATTCACAAAGCGTCTCAGAGTAACAGTGCTGATCTAGGATCAGGTCCGCCCTTTCCATATAATGTTATTCATTATTATCTAAAGTGGAAATCTGGTCCTAGATCAGCACTCTAGACACTATACTCTGGGACACTTTGTGAACACGGGCCCTGGTTAGTACTGAGAAGAGACTCTAGCCAGGAGTACTGAGAGGTAAGGGTGAGGACAGAGGAGGAGAGAGAGGTTCCCAATCCTCCACTGCCCCTAGCCCCTGCCACAAGAACTCTAGGTTACACCTATCCAACCCTGTCAGATCTACAAATGTGTCTAGGGGTCGATTTAGGAATGGCAATAGAGGGAGAGGCAGAGAAAGGGTTAGAGAGACAGAGACAGGGTGAGAGAGAGAGACAGGGTGAGAGAAAGAGAGAGAAAGGGGGTGGGGGGTGTACTGACCTGAGGGTGCGGAGGCGTTGGTAGGGGTGGAGGCCCCGGGCTGATTCCGGGCGTGGGTGGGGATGAGGATGGAGGCTAGGGAGGGGTTACTGGACAACTCTGGGGAAGCAGAGAGAGAAAGAAACAAGACGTCAGACACAATCACCTATAGACAGACAGCACATCTTCTATTTACAACTACAGACCCAACTATCACATTCACCACCATCCTACCTGAGTCACAGCATGCATTCACTATGATTATATCGTAATCAATCACCATCATCAAATTCAGTAAGTCTATGGACCAAATTTACATACACCCAAAGTTTGCACTTGCACACTTGGATTGGTGTAAATAGTGACTAGAGGGCATTTCCAACAATATCACATCCATGACAAGAAGTGTGAAAGTGCACACTTTGTGAGAATGGTGGAGAGTCAGGATACAACCACATCTACCATTTACAAACACAGACCCAACTACCCAAACACAGTTACCTATAGATACAAATTCTACCATTTGGCCTACAACTACAGGCCCAACTTTCACATTCACCATCATAGCATATTTAGCCTTTATTTTAGCAGGGGAAGTCCCATTGAGACCAAGGTCTCTTTTACAAGGGAGCCCTGCATTACAAAGCAGCAAGGAATAGTGACACAATTACATCATAGTCACAGCATTAATTCGCTGTGATCAAATTTAAATCATAATCCTCTAATGGAGTAATAGCCACATACCCCATTATCATGTATAGAAATACAATTACTAGAACGGACATTCCTATTCAAGTCAAATTTCTGTGATGGGTAAACTGGCATCCATATTGAGTGGTCCCATGAGTGTTTCAGTCGATTTGCAGTGGTCTGAGGGGCTTTGTCCGTTCTAGTAATTCTGTAGGCGATACAGAGCTATGTCTGAGCTCCATCCATACCATGTGTGGAGAAGTTGAAGAGCAGGGGTTTCTCACGCCCGTTGGGCAGCTTGAGGTTGGGGTCCCGGAGCTCGTCGAAAAAGGTGTGGGCACAGGCCTCGAGGGGCGTGAAGCGCGCTGTGGGCGTGTACTCCAGCAGCCGCGAGCACAGAGCGATGGCCTCAGGGGGCGTGCGCGGCCGGAACACCTGAGAGCCAATCACACAAGGCTGAAACCAGTCAATGACACAGGTTAGAGGTGACACGTCAGCTAAAGCGCCTGGGTGAAGTTTCCCCTAGGTACAGATCTAGGATCAGCTTCCCCCAATCCTAACCGTAACAATTAATGGGGAATATGCAAAACTGACCCAAGATCAGCGTCCAGAGACAACTTCACCCTACACCTGCTAAAACAATGACAGCTAAATATTACACAACGCCTGTGCAAAAACCCAATGTAATGATTTTTATTTATTTCAATCTAAGGAAGCAAAATGTGAAAACTGTGCAAGGGTGAAGACTTTCACTAGGCACTGTATATACGACACTACAGGTAGAATGACAGGGTTATAAAATGTGGTCCCACTTTAAACAAACAACTTCACAAAGCCTTATAGCATTCATTACATTTTCATAAGCACTGCATATATGCTTCCCATTCATACACTACCGTTCAAAAGTTTGGGGTCACTTAGAAATGTCCTTGTTTTCGGAATAAAAGCAATTTTTTTGTCCATTAAAATAACATAAAATTGATCTGAAATACAGTGTAGACATTGTTCATGTTGTAAATGGCTATTGTAGCTGGAAACAGCTGATTTTAATGGATTATCTACATAGGCGTACAGATGCCCATTATCAGCAACCATCAGTCCTGTGTTCCAATGGCACGTTGTGTTTGCTAATCCAAGTTTATCATTTTAAAAAGGCTAATTGATCCTTAGAAAACCCTTTAGCAATTATGTTAGCACAGCTGAAAACTGTTGTGCTGATTAAAGAAGCAATAAAACTCGCCTTCTTGAGACTAGTTGAGTATCTGGAGCATCAGCAATTGTGGGTTTGATTACAGGCTCAAAATGGCCAGAAACAAAGAACTTCCTTCTGAAACTCGTCAGTCTATTCTTGTTCTGAGAAATGAAGGCTATTCCATGCGAGAAATTGCCAAGAAACTGAAGATCTCGTACAACGCTGTGTACTACTCCCTTCACAGAACAGCGCAAAATGGCTCTAACCAGAATAGAAAGAGGAGTGGGAGGCCCCGGTGCACAACTGAGCAAGAGGACAAATACATTAGTGTGTCTAGTTTGAGAAACAGACGCCTCACAGGTCCTCAACTGGCAGCTTCATTAAATAGTACCCGCAAAACACCAGTCTCAACGTCAACAGTGAAGAGGCGACTCCGGGATGCTGACCTTCTAGGCAGAGTTGAAAAGAAAAAGCCATATCTCAGACTGGCCAATAAAAATTAAATATTAAGATGGGCAAAAGAACACAGACACTGAACAGAGGAAGATTGGAAAAAAGTGTTATGGACAGACAAATCAAAGTTTGAGGTGTTCGGATCACAAAGAAGAACATTTGTGAGACGCAGACCAAATGAAAAGATGCTGGAGGAGTGCTTGATGCCATCTGTCAAGCATGGTGGAGGCAATGTGATGGTCGGGGGTGCTTTGTTGGTGGTAAAGTGGGAGATTTGTACTAGGTAAAAGGTATCTTGAAGAAGGAAGGCTATCACTCCATTTTGCAACGCCATGCCATACCCTGTGGACGACGCTTGATTGGAGCCAATTTCCTCCTACAACAAGACAATGACCCAAAGCACAGCTCCAAACTACGCAATAACTATTTAGGGAAGAAGCAGTCAGCTGGTATTCTGTCTATAATGGAGTGGCCAGCACAGTCACCGGATCTCAACCCTATTGAGCTGTTGTGGGAGCAGCTTGACCATATGGTACGTAAGAAGTGCCCATCAAGCTTGTGGGAGGTGCTTCAGGAAGCATGGGGTGAAATCTCTTCAGATTACATCAACAAATTGACAACTAGAATGCCAAAGGTCTGCAAGGCTGTAATTGCTGCAAATGGAGGATTCTTTGACGAAAGCAAAGTTTGAAGGACACAATTATCTCAATTATTATCAAATCATTATTTCTAACCTTGTCAATGACTACATTTCCTATTCATTTTGCTATATTTCCTATTCAAACTAATTTCATGTATGTTTTCATGGAAAACAAGGACATTTCTAAGTGACCCCAAACTTTTGAACGGTAGTATATATATATATATATATATATATATATATATATATATATATATATATATATATATATATATATATATATATATATATATATATACACATACATACACATACATACATACACACACACGGCATAATCCTATGAATGGTTTCTGAAGCATTTATAGACTTATAAAGGGTTTATAAGTCGCTCTGGATAAGAGCGTCTGCTAAATGACTAAAATGTAAATGTAAATGTCAGTGACTGTTTAAAGTGGGACCTAAAATGTCTAGTAGATTCACTTTTATTCAGAAGCCCACAGGCCAGAGGACAGTGCAGTACTACACCACCAGAGGGAGTGTTAACATGTCTTAAAGGCGCTGCATGATCAATCCGATGTCTGCATTGGCCGTGCAGCATTTAAGGTTATATGGCCTCTGCAGAAGTCAGGGCATTCATACTTCTTGCACTTCACAGAGCAGCACAAAGCTGTTGAAGGAAGTTGTCAAGGAAGTGAGTTTGTGTTTATACAGGACCTCCCACCCTCACCTACCGTCAACCAATCATGTCAATGCGGAGCTATACGGAGCCCTCCGCATTGTTACAACATTTGAGAGGCGCGCGTAGATGCGGTATGGAGCTCAAGTTGGCCTCTGAGTTCCTCCGTCGGCTCCGCAATTGCGTCACACCATCCATACGGCACCTCCGACCACATTTTTGGATCAAGCATAAATTGGCTCTTACAGAGGGGAGAGCTGGTGTAAAACTGTGGGACAAATACGCCGGTCCCAATTTGCTCCCTACCTTTATCCCTTCCCCTTGGCCCTAACCCTTCGATGTTTGCAGATTTGTAAGATGGAATACTTTCCCAACCCTTCAGATCTGGAAACATTGAAGGGTTAGAGCCTATGGGGAGAGCAATAGTCAGCGGATTTGGACCAGCTGTCCCTTTTGCCACCAATGTGGTGAAGTACATGCTGTTCAACCTGCAGATTCTAGAACGCGCTCTGTGTGAGTATGTGTGTGTACACTGCTGTTCCTCTGCTTGCCCCTGGGGCTGGTGAAAGCGTTTAACATGCTTAAGAACACTGGAGTTCACTGATGCATGAGTGAGATTTGAAGACGGGGGAGAATCCGAACTTTCTCTTAAATTACATTTTCACTCAGTGAGATTTTAAAATAGTAAAAAACGGTTCCTGTACCTGTTGACTCACCTTAGTCCATGGGTGTGCCTTGATCTGAGGGAACTTAAACTCAGTGTAGTTGGGATTCATCTCTCTGATCTGCTCCCGAGTGGGAGTGCCGAGAACCTGGGGAGACACGGAGACAGAGAAACCGTTTGCCCATCGATACGTACAACTATGTACATTTGAAGTATTTGGTGTGTACTTAGTACTTGCATGGCAAAACAGAAGTTTATCACTCATTACATTACCAACAGGGTTGTTCTCAATTCAGAATTTGGGAATTGACTCCCATTCAACTCGAGTTGAAATTCTAATTGGATTGGCCACACCCCACAGGATGTAGAGTTTGAGTGACATGAAATATAATTTCATTCAGTACAATTCAAAGAAATTCCACTCAGTCATAGAACATGGGAGTTTCATTGAATTTGACAGGTCACACTTCCAGATACCAAAGAATACATCACTTTTCTCTGGAAACAATGTTCATACTCTTTTAACCTTAGTGCTTAGAATAGCCAATTATATTTCCACCAACCATTTCATTTGTTTGGCTTCTTTTCGAAGGCTTTAGGGTCAACTTGAGGGATAAACAAATGTAAGTGATTAATGAAATATAATAACTTAGAATACTCGCATACAGGTTTTGTTTAGCTTGAAAATCAATTGTTTCATCAATATTTTATATGCATGTATATAACGAATGTTTTATGTTTTATGTACAATATGTACATTGAACAAAAATATAAACGCAACATGATAAAATGTCAACGATTTTACTGAGTTACAGTTCATATAAGGAAATAAGTCAATTTAAATAAATAACTTAGGCCCTAATCTATGGATTTCACATGACTGGGAATACAGATATACATCTGTTGGTTACAGATACCTTAAAAGAAAAGCTAGGGACGTGGATCAGAAAACCAGTCAGTATCTGGTGTGACCACCATTTGACTTATGCACACATCTCATGCACACATCTCTTTCGCATAGTTGGCTTTTGATTGTGGCCTGTGGAATGTTGTCCCACTCCTCTACAATGGCTGTGTGAAGCTGCTGTAAATTGGCGGGAACTGGAATAAGATGTCGTACACGTCGATCCAGTGCATCCCAAACATGCTCAATGGGTGACATGTCTGGAGAGTATGAAGGCCATGGAAGAACTAGGACATTTTCAGTTTCCAGGAATTGTGTACAGATCCTTGCGACATGGGGCCGTGCATTATCATGCTTTAACATGGAGGTGATGGCGGCGGATGAATGGCACGACAATGGGCCTCAGGATCTCGTCACGGTATCTCTGTGCATTCTTTTGGTTGACTGTCTGTTTTACAGACTGTCTGTCTAAAACAGACTGTCTGTCTGGCTTACCATCTGTCCGTCTTACGTCTGTCTGTTGACATTTGAAGGCAGGTGTTTTTACCTTGATGATCTCCACCAGCTGATCCACCCCACTGTCGCCGGGAAAAATGGGTTGCCCTAGCAACAGTTCTGCTAGAACGCAGCCAGCGGACCATACATCTGCAGAGGATGGAGAAATACTGTGAGGACTCACACACAGACACACTAGTAGTGGGAGTGTACCCTGGAGGTGTAGTTGGTGTAATATGTAGGTAGTCAGTGTAAGGTGTTAGTAATGGGAGGTGTAGTCAGTGTATGGTGTTAGTAGTGGAAGGTGTAGTCAGCGCAAGGTGTTAGTAATGGGAGGTGTAGTCAGTGGAAGGTGTTAGTAGTGGAAGGTGTAGTCAGTGTAAGGTGTAGTAAGTGTAAGGTGTTAGTAATGGGAGGTGTAGTCAGTGTAGCGTGTTAGTAATGGGAGGTGTAGTCAGTGTAGCGTGTTAGTAATGGGAGGTGTAGTCAGTGTAGGGTGTTAGTAGTGGAAGCGTACCTATGCTGGAGGTGTAGTCAGTGTAGGGTGTTAGTAGTGGAAGCATACCTATGCTGGAGGTGTAGTCAGAGTAGGGTGTTAGTAGTGGAAGCATACCTATGCTGGAGGTGTAGTCAGTGGCCCCAAAGATGAGCTCGGGGGCTCTGTAGTACCGTGAGCAGATGTAGGACACATTGGGCTCACCACGGACCAGCTGCTTCGCACTGCCAAAGACAACCAATGATGAGTGAAGGAAGGAAGGAAGGAAGGAAAGGAATGAAAGATAGCGGGTAAGGATGGTCAAAAGGAGGATTTAAGACTTCAAGGATTTGAGTTGAAACTGCGCTTTCTTTTATGTATACCAGTTAGTAGTTTCCTCAATTCCTCTCAAATAAAAAAAGGACGTAGGAAGCAAGGATTTGACAGCTAGTAATGTTTTCAGACACAGCCCCAACCTAACCCAGCTCATAGAAATATAATTACTAGAACTGAGGGGCTTTGTCCATTCTACTAATTATATTTCTATGAGCTGGGCTAGGTTGGGTCTGTGTCTGAAAACATTACTAGCTGTCAAATCCTTGCTTCCTCCATCAATACGGCTCCATTGTATTTCAATCTTCCAGCCCACCTGCCAAAGTCACAGAGCTTGAGCACGGCTGTCTCCGGGTCCAGCAGCAGGTTCTGGGGCTTGATGTCCCGATGGCAGATCCCAAAGGAATGGATGTAAGCCAAGCTCCGGAAGAGCTGGTACATGTACAACTGCAGAGAGAGACGTGGAGACACACACACAAATGAGTACATGCTCTAAGCTAGCTAAACATAATGACATGAGTCGTAGGCCTATAGAGCTGCAGCAATTCCTCCTCCCTCGTAATCAATGGGCTAAAAATAACAGCGTGCCAGTGTCCAAATCCCCCAGAAAGCACCAGCCAGCAGGCAGCGGTCCCTGGCTCTGACTCCAGTCCAGTCCTTTGTTTATGCCACTACTTCCACTTCCTTAAGTGGCAAGCTGGAAAGGCAGAGACGGCGGGGGTGCTATAATAAGGCCGCTGACGCCATCTCAACTGGCCGCTACACGATGACGCAGGACAGCATGGTGAGGAAGACATGCCCAGAGGAGTCTGTCTGCCCAGACACACATAACCACATGCACTTTTGGGACAATTCTGTACCGAGCAAACTAAATCAAGAGCAGCTCAAGTATTTGACATTCGTATTTGACCCACGTCTACCACATAGTGCATCTAGAGCAGTGTTTCTTAGTCCTCCAGTACCCCAAATAATACACATTTTTATTGAAGCCCTGGACAAGAACATCAGATTCAACTAGTCAACTAATCATCAAACCCTCGATGAGTTGAAACGGGTGTTTTTGTCCGGGGCGACAACAAAAATGTGTGCTGTTGGGTGCTCGACCTGAGTTGAGAAACACTGATCTAAAATGAACATACAGAGAGAGTAGTACCTTGAAGGGATAGACTCGAGGTGGTCTTACCTTCACATAAACCATGGGGAGGGTCTGCTTGGCTCGGCTGTAGTGTCTGGCCACTCTGTACACCGTCTCAGGAACGTAGTCCAGAACCAGGTTGAGATACACCTCGTCCTTCTGTAACACACACAGACAGAGAGGACATTTAGAGTATGGGTCAGACTTTGGGACAGTGGGCTGAGGAGGTTAGAAGCATATATGAATTCCTTTGGAGTGATCACAATGTAACATGGTTCATGTTCATTAGGCACCAAACGAAAGAAAACGGACTGAAATATTGGAGGGGCTAACGGGTCTTGTCCAATAAGAAAGGCTCATTTTTCGTTTTCTGTTGCAAAATACACGTTCCATTGTGTGCCTAATGAACACTACCCAGGCCTCGCTGGGTGACTAAACAGGCCAGACCGAGAGAAAGAAAAACGGTTACTGTTTGATCTGGCAGAGACACTAAGCTAGACTTAACATCAAGGGAGTCAGATGTTGTTTTCTTTGGCAGGGCAACAGACGAACAGATGACTGTTCTAGTGAGGGCAATGGGATATCACACTTTCTCTATGAATCCATCCCTGCAGATGTCTTCAATGAACCGCTAAAAGATCAAGAATGATCACATATACACGCAGTGTAGAAAATATTAAGAACAGTGAGTTGCCCCCCCCCTGTCGCCCTCAGAACAGCCTCAATTCGTCGAGGCATGGACTCTACAAGGTGTTGAAAGCGTTCAACAGGGATGCTGGCCCATGCTGACTCCAATGCTTCCCACAGTTGTGTCAAGTTGGCTGGATATCCTTTAGGTGGTGGACCATTCTTCATACACACGGGAAACTGTTGAGTGTGAAAAACCCAGCAGTGTTGCAGTTCTTGCCACAAACCGGTGCGCCTGGCACCTTCTACCATACCCCATTCAAAGGCACATAAATATTTTGTCTTGCCCATTCACCCTCTGAATGGCACACATATACAATCCATGTCTCAATCTTTAACCTGTCTCCTCCCCTTCATCTACACTGATTGAAGTGGATTTAACAAGTGACATCAATAAGGGATCATTGCTTTCACCTGGATTCACCTGGTCAGTCTATGTCATGGAAAGAGTAGGTATTCTAAATGTTTTGTATATACAGTACCAGTCAAAAGTTTGGACACACCTACTCATTCAAGGGTTTTTCTATATTTTTACTATTGTCTACATTGTAGAATAATAGTGAAGACATCAACATTATGAAATAACATATAGAATCATGTAGTAACCCAAAAAGTGTTAAACAAATCAAAATATTTTTTATATTTGAGATTCTTCAAATAGCCACCCTTTGCCTTGATAACACACTCTTGACATTCTCTCAACCAGCTTCACCTGGAATGGTTTTCCAACAGTCTTGAAGGAGTTCCCACATATTCGAGAAGCACTTGTTGGCTGCTTTTCCTTCACTCTGCGGTCCAACTCATCCCAATCCATCTAAATTGGGTTGAGGTCGGGGGATTGTGGAGACCAGGTCATCTGATGCAGCACCAAACTACTTTCCTTCTTGGTAAAATAGCCCTTACACAGCCTGGAGGTGTGTTGGGTCATTGTCCTGTTGAAAAAATTCTAATGAAATCACAGACAGTGTCACCAGCAAAGCACCCCCACACCAGAACACCTCCTTCTCCATGCTTTACGGTGGGAAATACACATGCAGAGATCATCCGTTCACATACACAGTGTCTCACAAAGACACGGCGGTTGGAACCAAAAATCTCCAATTTGGACTCCAGACCAAAGGACAAATGTCCACCGGTCTAATGTCCATTGCTCGTGTTTCTTGGCCCAAGCTGGTCTCTTCTTCTTATTGGTGTCCTTAATTCGACCATGAAGGCCTGATTCACACAGTCTCCTCTGAACAGTTGATGTTAAGATGTGTCTGTTACTTGAACTCTGTGAACCATTTATTTGGGCTGCAATTTCTGAGGCTGGTAACTCTAATGAACTTATCCTCTGCAGCAGAGGTAACTCTGGGTCTTCCATTCCTGTGGCAGTCCTCATGAGAGCCAGTTTTATCATAGCGCTTAATGGTTTTTGCGACTGCACTTGAAGAAACTTTCAAAGTTCTTGACATTTTCCGTATTAACTGACCTTCATGTCTTAAAGTAATGATGGACTGTCGTTTCTCTTTGCTTATTTGAGCTGTTCTTACCATAATATGGACTTGGTCTTTTACCAAATAGGGCTATTTTCTGTATACCTTGTCACAACACAACTGATTGGCTCAAATGCATTAAGAAGGAAAGAAATTGCACAAATTAACTTTTAAGAAGGCACACCTGTTAATTGAAATGCATTTCAGGTGACTACCTCATGAAGCTGGTTGAGAGAATGCCAAGAGTGTGCAAAGCTGTCATCAAGGCGAAGGGTGGCTATTTGAAGAATCTCAAATATAAAATATATTTTGATTTGTTTAACACTTTTTTGGTTACTACATGATTCCATATGTGTTATTTAATAGTTTTGATGTTTTCACTATTATTCTATAATTTAGAAAATAGTAAAAAATAAACAAGAACCCTCAAATGAGTAGGAGTGTCCAAACTTTTGACTGGTACTGTATGTTTAAACTGTATATCATCTGTTCCTACAAACAGGAAATAAAAAAGGCTAAGTCAGGCTTAGAGGTGTTTGCTCCCTGTGCTCAGCCTTATTAAGTCTTCTCAAGACACACACAGTCACACGCACGCACGCACACACACACAGAGACACACACTTTCTGATAGACCCATGCACTAAAATAAGCCCAACACAAAGGATTGCTCACTCTCCTGCCTGCCTCACTACGGCAACAGCAGCCCCTAAATTACCCCTCTGATTGGCTCATCGGCTCACACAGAAGGCAGGTGATTGGATCCACGCCTTGCTCCCTCCTGACCATGTAAATAGCTGATTGGTTTGACAGCAACAGGTAGTGACTGCTCAGTGCTCTGCCGCAAGCGACAGTGTGTGTGGTCTCCTTCTGTCTATTTTCTGCATTTGCCAGTATTCGCTAAATGAACTCAGAAAAACATAGGTCATCTGTTAATCATGTGGTAGGCAATGTTATTAGACTGGAAAAATGTGGCACAAATGTTATAAAAATCATTTACTTTTTAGATGGGGTATGTAGTTTGTGTGCCAATTTGTGCCATGGCTGCATGAGTCTAAATGAGATTCTGTTTTACAGAGTCTCACTACAAGCCTTGTATATACTTATAATGACACAATGCTGTGCTTCCCCAATCAAGTCAGGAAAGGCAAATCTGTTTCAACCAGACTACGAAGAACCCTGATTAACCATTAGATGGTGGTAATTAAACAGTAAACAAGTAGCAATTTTGTGTATTTTCCGGAATGGTACAGTTAAGCAATAACGCCCGAGGGGGTGTGGTATATGTCTAAGGGCTGTTCTTATGCACGACGCAAAGCGGAGTGCCTGGATACAGCCCTTAGCCGTGGTATATTGGCACTATACCACAAACCCCGGAGGTGCCTTATTGCTATTATAAACTGGTTACCAACGTAATTACAGCAGTAAAAGTACATGACATATCACGGCTTTCAGCCAATCAGCAATCAGGGCTCGAACCACCCAGTATATAATAGATATTAGATACTGTAGGAGAAAAATACCTGAGGGGTGGGATTAAAGAGCTTATGTTCAGTAATGTATTATTGTTGTTATGTGATTGCTGAATATAAAAGTACCATGTACACTACCAGTCAAAGTTTGGACACACCTATTCATTCAAGGTTTTTTCTTTATTTTCACTATTGTCTACATTGTAGAATAATAGTGAAGACATCAACATTATGAAATAACATATGGAATCATGTAGTAACCCAAAAAGTGTTAAACAAATCAAAATATTTTTTATATTTGAGATTCTTCAAATAGCCACCCTTTGCCTTGATAACACACTCTTGACATTCTCTCAACCAGCTTCACCTGGAATGGTTTTCCAACAGTCTTGAAGGAGTTCCCACATATTCGAGAAGCACTTGTTGGCTGCTTTTCCTTCACTCTGCGGTCCAACTCATCCCAATACATCTAAATTGGGTTGAGGTCGGGGGATTGTGGAGACCAGGTCATCTGATGCAGCACCAAACTACTTTCCTTCTTGGTAAAATAGCCCTTACACAGCCTGGAGGTGTGTTGGGTCATTGTCCTGTTGAAAAAATTCTAATGAAATCACAGACAGTGTCACCAGCAAAGCACCCCCACACCAGAACACCTCCTTCTCCATGCTTTACGGTGGGAAATACACATGCAGAGATCATCCGTTCACATACACAGTGTCTCACAAAGACACGGCGGTTGGAACCAAAAATCTCCAATTTGGACTCCAGACCAAAGGACAAATGTCCACCGGTCTAATGTCCATTGCTCGTGTTTCTTGGCCCAAGCTGGTCTCTTCTTCTTATTGGTGTCCTTAATTCGACCATGAAGGCCTGATTCACACAGTCTCCTCTGAACAGTTGATGTTAAGATGTGTCTGTTACTTGAACTCTGTGAACCATTTATTTGGGCTGCAATTTCTGAGGCTGGTAACTCTAATGAACTTATCCTCTGCAGCAGAGGTAACTCTGGGTCTTCCATTCCTGTGGCAGTCCTCATGAGAGCCAGTTTTATCATAGCGCTTAATGGTTTTTGCGACTGCACTTGAAGAAACTTTCAAAGTTCTTGACATTTTCCGTATTAACTGACCTTCATGTCTTAAAGTAATGATGGACTGTCGTTTCTCTTTGCTTATTTGAGCTGTTCTTACCATAATATGGACTTGGTCTTTTACCAAATAGGGTTATTTTCTGTATACCTTGTCACAACACAACTGATTGGCTCAAATGCATTAAGAAGGAAAGAAATTGCACAAATTAACTTTTAAGAAGGCACACCTGTTAATTGAAATGCATTTCAGGTGACTACCTCATGAAGCTGGTTGAGAGAATGCCAAGAGTGTGCAAAGCTGTCATCAAGGCGAAGGGTGGCTATTTGAAGAATCTCAAATATAAAATATATTTTGATTTGTTTAACACTTTTTTGGTTACTACATGATTCCATATGTGTTATTTAATAGTTTTGATGTTTTCACTATTATTCTATAATTTAGAAAATAGTAAAAAATAAACAAGAACCCTCAAATGAGTAGGAGTGTCCAAACTTTTGACT